GGAAATTAACAACAAGGGTACACGAACATCAATTGGTTACAAAAAGACACGACCAATACTCACTCATCTCTATCCACATGGATAAGGAAAACCACCAATTCGACTGGGACAAGCAAAGCAGAAACAAGCACAGGAATTCCTGGAAGCGTGGTACTCCACGAAGAAAGCCATCAACAAACACATAGAGCTCGACCCCAGATACACTCCACTGCAAAGGAAAACTGGAAGTGAGGTAATCCAGCTCAACAGACTCCAGAGTTTAAATAACAGGAGGGAAAACACACTGATGCTTCATTGGAGGCTGCACTGATGATGTTACCCAGCAGGGTGACGAAACGTCTGTGAAACAACAAAGCAGCTCAGCGAGCCAACCAACTACAACATCCACAACTTGAGCTACAAATCTACTCTAAAACCTTACAGTATGCAATATTCCCCAATTTACAAGCCTTTTAGATGAACGTTGAAAGAAAGCATGGACCAGGTTTCTGTACTTAACCAGAATTACTACATATTACAAACAAACAGATTCTCACTATAGATAAACAATTACGAACCATCAATATGTAACTCTACTAGTTAAAACTTTAAATCCCCCCCTCTTATAAACTCACCTACATACATAAACACAGACAAATAATAAATGGGTGTTGTGGGCAGACAGAAAAACTGGAAGGGCAGTCGGTGGTGACTACGCACAGAGTTTGCCGAGATCATCATTTTGGCTCGTCAGGACACTGCTCCTTGATTTCTCATCTCCAGGTACTTTCACTTGTTTGAATGCACACAGGTTAGCTTGTTCTCACTTTATAAAGTCTCTGATTTATTAGGTTAAAATTCACAGATTACAGCAACTGCTGAGGAAAATAAATAAATTGACTTTCTTCAGGCATGAGGCAGTTTTTAGTGCACAGAAAAGGAACAGGTCCTTCCCTTCAGAGATACAATGGTTTCTCCACCAAACATTCACACCCACCAGACGTTAGGTTATCTGGGAGCTGATAACAGTTATTGACAGGTAGAAGGCCTTTGTCATTAGTAATCAGTCACCGCACCACAGACCAAATCAGCTCCTTGTTGCCAGCCGAAACTTCATTCATAGACATTCCTTGTAGACAATTTGTCTATAACCAGACTTCCCCCACTGTTTGAACAAGGGTATAAAGAGTATTTACAATGTGTGTCAGTTAATTTGCTTTTAAAAATTGCAATCCTTCAACCATCTTTGGTTTTTAAACAATCCTTTTCCCATTTTGGTCCATAATCCAAAATACAGAAAATAAAAAGATGCAGTCTTAACAGTTTCAATATCTTTATTGTATCTTTGTTCCTTCCCTTTGAGGTAGTAGATGATTAATATGGTAAATTTAGATCAACAAAGATGGGAGCATAATGAACACCAGCTGGTTGGGTTAACTGGGCTGTCTCTGTGCCATGGATAAATAATTCTATGTAACTTTCTTTACAGCTCCTCAAAGGCCTCAATGTCATTGCTGAAGTGTAGTCCCCAGAACAGCATACGATGTTCCACTCGAAGCCTCGACAGAGATTTGAAGGATTAGGAAGCCTTCAATATTTTTGTATTTAATATCTCTATTTGTAAGTTGAGTATCTATAACATTTCAGCTGCTTTAATTAACTTGTCACCCTGATCAACTTGTATCACAAGCTTCAAAGATTTGTGAATAAGCTGGTCTTCAGGTGCAACTCTTTCATCTCTCTCATAATAGCAGCATTTGGGTTATACTGTTTGTTATTTCACCCAAAAATGCAAAAAAAAAAATCACACTTAGCCATATTAAAATGCATCTGTCACATCGTTATTCATTTTACCTATCGACCCATATTCTCCTGAAGTCTATCGTCTCACAATTTATTATATTACCAGGTTTTGTATCATCTACATACTTGAAAAATGTACTGCTGCTGGACATTATACACAAAATTAATTATCTCCATACAAGCTGGAGAGGAGATGGTGGTGAGATGGTATTAACATTGGACTAGTAATCCAGAGTGGTTCACTGTAGGTGAAACATTAACTCTGTTACTCTCTCCATAGATTTTTAAAAATAAAATATTTACTCATGGGACATGGGCATCACTGGCTAGGCCGACATTTATTGTTCGTCCCAAATTGCCCTGAAGGTAGTAATGAGCCACCTTTGTGAATGGGAGGAGAGTTCTGCTGCAAATGCTGCACATGAAGCTACCAGGTGTCAATGTGGATTGTGGTGTTCAGTGCTGGTGGCACTTATCAAGTTGCTGTCACCACTGGTCATCATGCTGGTGCATGCCAGCCCATAAGTGGTGTCATCGTTTTCCCAATGTTGTCAGCTAGAAACTCCCAGATGCAATAATCCACGTATAGAACCCACACATGACATACTAAGTGGAGCTTTGAGCTATGACACATCCAAATTATTGGGTTCGTGAACATTCTCCATCCTTTGGATGTGCCAGGGCCAATAAAGCCACCTCTGTTCGATGAATACTAGCAAATTTGAGAGCCGTGCTTTTGAAACAATTGTATGTGTGATATTTTACAAATATGCACACACACACAAAACACAATCTACACTCAGTTACTTCAAAGAGCTCAATCAGATTGGTCCAATGTGATTTTGCCTTTAACAAATCTCCACTGGCTGTTGGTTATTAAAGCACTCTACTCTTAACTTTAAAAAAAAAAGTATTTTTGTTAGTGATAATGGCGTTTCAGATTTGCCAGCACTGAGATTAGGCTAATTGGCTAGTAGTTGGCAGTTTTCTCCCTCTCCTTTCTCAGAACAACAGTGCAACAATTCCAATCCTCTACTTCTCCAGCAGTGCTCCCACATTCAAGAATGCTTAGAAGATTAATTGTAGTCGAAAGGTCTGCTGGCTGACTCCACCTTAGTTTTCCTCAACAACCTAGGATGCATTCCATCCAAACCAAGGGACATTAACTTTGAAAGCTGCCAAACTATTTAGTCGCTCTTTTCTATGTTTTCTATTCAATAGACAAAATCCTGTGGCATCAAGTGTCTTGAAGGCAGGATTTAACTGCGCAGGACTTCCACTCAGGCAGATCTGCTGGCTACACACAATCACACAGTAGTGAGCCAATTTGATATTCATGAATGAGGTTCCTGACCAATTGTGTTGTGGCATCAGAAGAAGTATCACTGACTTCCCCATTACCTCATGAAGGTTGAAGGTCAAGGCACCATGTTTACAGAGCACTAGGACAGAACCTGAATCATTCCCTGTAATCCATCAACAGCAGGCTGGCTGTACAAGGAGATGCCTTTAGATTACAGTTGTTGCAAGAGCCTTCCAATTTTTCTCTCCCTGATAATTACAACTGCTGCTACCACAAACTAATCTGGAGTTATGTCTCACAGCAGACAATGGGTGATCCCACAGTTTAATTGTGCTTCTTCCAAGTCATCCAGGAATGACAAGGAGCTGTGTTTCCTCGTGATTGCCTGACTTCACAATTGATCTTCCCCAACAAACCTTTCCATCCACCGATCTCTCCGCAATCATGTTTGAACCCAATATATGTGTATTGGCCTTCCACTTTCTTCCCTCTGTTCCTATAAAAGCCCACAACCCACTCCCCCTTCTCAGCTAGTTATACCCTGTTCCACTCAGAAAACCAGCACCATTCACCCTCCCTTCTTCAGCTGTACCCCAATCCCCTTACGATGCCACCATCCAATCTCAACACATCAAAATCTCCTCTCCTGTTGTCTACAAAAGTTCCATGTGAAAAGAAAAGCAGGTCCTTCTCGATTCAAATCTACCAAATCACCTGCCTCCTGTACATCACATTTAACCAGTCTGAATCTGAAGGCCTTGTTTCTCATTCACTGCCGAGTTTATTGCAATTTAATATAGTGAAATGATATTTTAATGAGTATGCTTAACATACTAATACATTAAATTTAGGTTCTGCCACTTGTCATCCAGAGCTTAATCCACCTCCAATATGCTGCAACCTTAACTCTGTAATTTCATCACACTACCCGATATTTCAGCCTCCACAAAATTAAGTGTGCCTGTCAGCCTTGATTCCCACTGCCAGTAGCAGCATAAGATTCCAGCCAATACCTCCACTGTTCCATCTCTATGGTGATATCAATTTCATTCTTCTTTGTAAGACTGATGCAAAATAATCACTGAGATCCTCAATCCTGCTCATTGCCTTCTTTAGAAGATTTTTGTTTTAGTCCTAATTGGCCCAATCTTTAATTAACTTTTTCTTTTGCCTTTTATAGAAAAAAAATACTTTGCATGCATTTTATGGCATCAGAATATTTTGTCAAACTCTTTGCCCTTCTTACATCACTTTACAGTTTTCCTTCATACTGTGCTTGATTTTTGATTATATTCTATACTGGACAATTATCAGAAATTTAATTTTTTTTACCTTTATTTCCTTTGTCACTCAGAGTTCTGGCTTTGAAATCCCTACATTTCCTCCTTGTAGAACAATGCTTACTTTGTACCCAAATAATCTCTTCCTTGACATCCCTATCATTGCTCATCCATGGTTTTTGCAGCCTATCAGTTTCCAATTCACCTATACTGGATTCCTTTGACTATTTTTGCCTTCTTCCGTTAATATTTTAAAAGCATTCATATTTTGATGATTAACGATGCATATGTTCTCCCACTGAAACACGCTCCATTTGTCTTGCTTCATTAAGCAGAACTAGATTCAACAGTGTTTTGCTCTATGTTGGAATAGAAAGACACCGATTAAGTCCTCCTGTAACCGTTTTACAAATTCTTCACAGACCTTGCCTTTACTATTCCTCCATTACTGTATATTAGGATATTTGAAACTCTTTACCATTTTTAGACTTCTCTGAAAATTGCTTCCAGATTGCCTCTTCTGTTTTATTCTAACTTTCTAGGGCTTTATTGTAAACAGTCAGCAATATAATAGCTCTTCTTCTGTTCCTTAAAGTGGTCACATTTAAAATAATTTGAGAGCACAAAATCCTTACCTCTTGGTTCATCTGTAGTAACAGATTCAATAAAGTCTCGTGGAGTCATATATAGCTGACCTTCATGCTCCAGTGATGTAAACAGCCTAAATCTTTGTTCTTGGGAAGAAACATATAGTTCCACATCTTCAATATCAGATTCTTCCATTACATTCTGTAAGGCACAAAATCCAGAAGTTGAACTTTTTTAAAAAATCTTTTCACATTCCTGATACTTTTTTTCGCAACACACGAAGATACAGAAATCTCTTTGGTACGAAACTTAACTGCACGTGGGCGGGAATGTAAACTTAAGTCCATATTCACATCAGACATCAGGATTTTATTGAATGTTGGAGCAGGCTGGAGGAGCTGAATAGTCTAGCCCTGCCCCTAATTTGTAAGTAACCTCTCATTTTTGTTAAGACACTTAAAACCTTATGTCAAACTGTTAACTCCTTATGTGGCTTGGTGTCATACTTTATTTTATAATGCTCCTGTATGTGGCTTGGGTTGCTTTATTTCTTTAAAAGTGAAACATAAATTTGGGGTATTGTCATGAAACAACTTCTCAAGGTGACTACACTTCAACATGTGTTGAAAGGATTCCATGTGTCTATACTCCCATGCAATGTAAATCTTCAGTTTAATTTCACAGAGCACAGTTTTTATGCAGGATGCTCAATTTAAACTTGTCCTCATCACCAGTTTGTGTGCTAGAATCTGGGTTATAAGATTACACTCAGTGTTTTACCAGAGATGTACAGCACAGCAATATGTTTAGGGATTGGCTATTTTTGGCTCCCTGAAAACCATTGGTTCAAGATGAGAGACTGTGTTAAGCTCAGCGTTTTTCCTGGCCACAATCATCTGAGCAGATATGAGGAGGCCATTTTACAAAGAGAGCACTGTCTGTATTGCGAAAGCCAAATATTGCATGCAAATATTCTGATTGATGGGCTGGATATTGAAAACGTGGCTTTTTGATTGCTTTGCACCAGTGCTTGATGCCTTTTTCATTTCTTGAATCCATTAATAGAGTTTATAACACAGAATGGAGGCCTGTTGTAGTAGTGTCCCTGTCTCTGAGCCAGGAGGCCTGGACTCAAGTGCCATCTGCTCCAGAGGTGTGTCGTGACAGGTTGATTCAAACATGTCCATAACATTTGGGGCAGCACGGTGGCTCAGCGGTTAGCACTGCTGCCAGTGACCAGGGTTCAGTTCCACCCTCAGGCGACTGTCTGTGTGGCGTTTGCACATTCTCCCTGTGTCTGTGGGGGTTACCTCCACGTGCTCCGGTTTCTTCCCACAGTCCAAAGATGTGCATGCTAGGTGGATTGGTCATGCTAAATTGCCCATAGTGTTCAGGGATGCGTAGATTAGGTTGGTTATAGGGGGATGGGACTGGGTGAGATGCTGTGGAAGTCGGTGTGGACTTGTTGGGCTGAAGGGCCTGTTTCCACACTGTAGGGATTCTATCATTCATTCTATCTACCTCTCTGATTAGATCACTTGATACTTCAATCAAAAAAACTCTCTTTAAATATCTAAAAGAATCATAACTAACAATAAAAGGAAAGTACTACGGATGCTGGAGATCTGAAATAAAAACAAAGTGCTGGAGAAACTCAGCATCTGACAACAGTGAAACAGTCATATCATATTTAGAATTATACAGTCAGAGAAATATACAGCACAGAAACACACCTTTCAGTCCAACTCGTCCATGCCGACCAGATATCCTAAATAAATCTAGTCCCATTTGCCAGCATTTGCCCCAAATCCCTCTAAACCCTTGCTATTCATACACCCATCCACGTGCCTTGTAAACGTTGTAATTGTACCTGCCTCCACCACATACCCTGGCAACTGATTCCATTGACACATCAATGATAAAGTTGTCCCTTAGGTCCCTTTTAAATCTTTCATCTCTCATCTTAAACCTATAACCTCTAGGATTGGACTCCCCCATCCCAGGGGAAAGACCTTGTCTATTTACCCTATCCATGCCCCTTATGATTTTATAAGCCTGTATAAGGTTACCCCTCAGCCTCCGTCACTCCAGGGAAAATAGCTCCAGTCTATTCAGCTTCTCCCCATAGCTCAAACCCTCCAACCTTGGCAACGTCCTTGTAAATCTTTTCAGAACACCTTCAAGTTTCACAACATCATTCCTATAGCAGGGAGACCAGAACTGCATGCAGTATTCCAAAAGTGGCCTAACCAATGTCTTATATAGTTGCAACATGACCTCCCAACTCCTATACCCAATGCACTGACCATTAAAGGCAAGCATATCAATTGGCTTTTTCATTATCCTATCTACCTGTGACTCTACTTTAAAGGAACGATGAACCTGCACTCCAAGGTTTCTTCATTCAGCAACATTCCCCAAGACCTTACCATTAAGAGTACAAAGTCCTGCCCAGATTTGCCTTTGCAAAATGCAACACCTCACATTCATCTAAATTAAACTCCATCTGCCACTCCTCGGCCCATTTGCCCATCTGATCAAGATGCCATTGCACTCCTAGGATTCCCTCCAACAACCTGCTCACTACTGATGTCAAGCTCACCAGTTTATAGTTCCCTGGCTTTTCCTTACCACTTTTCTTAAATTGTGGCACCATGTTAGTCAACCTCTAGTCTTTCGGCACCTCACCGGTAGCTATTGATGATGCAAACATCTCAGCAAGGGGCCCAGCAATCACTTCCCTAGCTTCCCACAAAGTTCTAGGGTACACTGGTCAGGTCCAGAGATTTATCCACCTTTATTCATTTTAAGACATCCAGCACCACCTCCTCTGTAATATGGGCCTTTTTCAAGGTGTTGCTATTTATTTCCCCATGTTCTCTACCTTCCATATCCTTCTCTACATTAAACACTGATGCAAAATACTCATTTAGTATTGCCCATCTCCTGTGGTTCCACAATTCGCGACCTTATTCATCTTTGAGGGGCCTGATTCTCTCCCTTGTTACCCTTTTGTCCTTAATGTATTTGTAGAATCCCTGTGGATTCTCCTTTATCCTGTTTGCTAAAGCTGTGTCCCCTTTTACCCTTCTTATTTCCATCTTAAGCATACTCCTACTGCCTTTATACGTTCTAGGGATTCACTTGATCTCTGCTGTCTATACCTGATATATGCTTCTTTCTTATTCTGAACCAAAATCTCAATTTGCAATGTTAATTCTATTTCTCTCTCCACAGGTTCTCCCAGGCGTGCTGAATTTCTGCAACACTTTGTTTTACCTTTAGTACCCAACTTTAGGAACAAAATATTCATGGTTTCAGGCCAGCAGCAGTCAACAGCAATTCTTTTGAATACTAAACAAATGGGGATATTTAAAAAATAAAGGCATGTCTGAAATTAAAATTTAAGGATGAGACAAAGCATCAAACTACAGTAAAAGAGAAGACATAGCAAATGAGAGCTACAAATCAACATTCTGAAATTGCAAATTGATTTAATATCACACAAATATAGTCTTTGAGAAAAATAAAAAGCAAAAAAAAAAATGGGACAAAAACCAAAGTTGCTGGAAAAGCTCAGCAGGTCTGGCAGCATCTGTGAAGGAGAAAACAGAGTTAACGTTTTGGGTCCGGTGACCCTTCCTCAGAACT